GAGAGAGAGAGAGAGAGAGAGAGAGAGAGAGAGGGAGGTGATTTAACTTTCTAGAGAGACAGAGGGAGTAAAAAAATTAAGTCCAGAGAGAGTCTCGGATATTTTTTTTGTGTTTTTTGAAAAAAAAAGATGGACAAGCCCTAAATCCGAGGGTGGAGTTTGGTGCAGTAAGCCCGAGAAAACCCCAAAACCCTACAAGAGAAATAAGGGAGAAAACGATTCAGATATTTATCAGAAGAGAGGGAGAGATCTAATTCTAAATTTGAGGAGATAGAGAGGGAGAACAAGGGAGAAAACGAAACAGGTATTTATCAGAAGAGAGGGAGAGATCTAATTCTAAATTTGAAGAGAGAGAGAGAGATCAATTGTAAATTCTTACTCTTCTTGTTTTCTCTCTACCGATAACACTATGACAGTCACCTCCACAACCACTCCCCACAGTCATCGCTGGGGGCGGTGGCTAGTGGTCGGTATGTACGCCTGCTCCCTCCTCTTTGGCCAAGCCGTCGCCACGCTCCTCAGTCGCCTCTACTTCGAAAAGGGTGGCAACAGCAAATGGCTGGCCACTCTCGTCCAATCGGTCGCCTTCCCTCTCCTCTTCCCTTTCCTCCTCTTCTATCTTCCAAAACACCATCACCCCTCTTCCTCCTCAGATCAGAATGGCGACAATAGCAGTACTGGTAGCTCTCATACACTTGCTTTAGCCTATGTAGCTCTCGGCCTCTTGATCATAGGAGACAACATGCTCTATACATGGGGCGTCGCCCTCCTCCCTGTCTCCACTTACTCTCTCATATGCGCCTCTCAGCTTGGTTTCAATGCCCTCTTCTCATTTTTATTGAATAAGCAACCATTGAAGCCTCTTACTATAAACTCAGTGGTTTTACTTACATTTTCATCTGCCCTTCTTGCAATCCAGTCCCCCTCAGACCGTCCCCCGGGCCTCTCCCGTATAAAATATGCCCTGGGTTTCATATGCACGGTTGCAGCCTCTGCCCTGTATGCCCTAATCCTCTCTCTCATGCAAAAGGTCTCAACAAGATGGAGATGCCAAAACATTTCGGGGATTTTAAGAATGCAGGTTTGGACATCGGCAGTGGCGACATTGGTGTGCGTCATAGGGATTTTTTGGAGCGGCGAGTGGCGGAAGCTGCGGAAGGAGGCATCGGGTTTTACTGCAGGCGGTGCAGCAGGGTACACACAGGTCGTTGTTTGGATGGCGGTTGGGTGGCAGATCTGTTCAGTGGGTGTTGTGGGTTTGGTTTTCGTGGTGTCATCTTTGTTTTCAAATGTGGTGAGCACATTGTCGCTGCCACTGGTCCCGATAGTGGCAGTGTTTCTGTTTAGGGATAAGATGGATGGGGTGAAGGTGGCGGCGTTGCTGTTGGCGTTGTGGGGATTCGGGTCTTATGGATACCAACAATATTTGGATGAAGGAGCAGAGCGGCGGAAGATGAGGAGAGTGGTGGAGACGGAGGGGGGTTTAGTGCAGATGGAGGGGACGAGAGGGGGTGGTGATGGTGAATTGTGCTGATTCTCTTCTCGTTAATATATATGGTGAGAGTGGATTGTGTTGATACTTGATTCTATATCTCTTTCTGGCGAGGCTGAGTTCTGTGAATTGTATTGGTTCGTTCTTTCTCACTACTTCTCCCTTGAGTCTCATGATTTCTGGCTCAACTGCTGACAAGATGATGTTGGTTCTCTCTCTCATGTGTCCATTGAAATGTTTCACCTCTTCTGATAGTAAGGCGTTACTGATGGTTCTTTTGATATATATATATAAATTTTTATAAGCAGTAGTTTTCAACTTTTTTTTTTTCCAATTGGTGTTTGTGTTTTGCTTCAAAAATGGTGATGAAATGATAGCAAAAGTAAAATAAGGATGTTTAAAATAATGCAAAAACAAGGGTGGGGCTGGATTGGCCAATTCCTTGACAGGAATGGCTGATTACATCAGAGAATCAGCTGGTTCCCAATCTGTGGTGGGGACTGAACTGTCCCCACTGGTTCTCAGATCGGATCGATCGATTCCAACTCGACCCAGCAAATTTTTAAATCCTTAGTCTGTGGTAACCATTTGTGTGCGAGACACAACGGCCTCATATGGCCAAAAGCCGTCTGTGTCAACTAGGTAATAGTCTTGTGATTATTCTAATCAGAGATTATGATGTTGTGAAGCATTGTGAAACTATAATCCTTCGAGTTTAGCAAATTTTTGTTTTCTTGGGGGGGAACAAGGCTTTTGACATCGATAAATTTTCATAGTTAATAGAAATGCAGGAAACTGAAACATGGGATTTGATTCCATTGGAGCATGAAATGAGAGTTAGAGATTATCACTCCCATTGTTTTAAGGGCTTTGATAGTGACTTTCCATCTTTCTTTGTTATGCCTCTATGCCATAACAAACCAATTCACAGATCTTCAGGCTCCACCCAACAAGTGCTCTTTGATATTGGACAAATGACCACTAAACTATATAAGCATCTCTCAATGCGAAAAATGAAACAGGAGTCTTGTTATTTTATTGAAAAACTTCTGAGCTTTCGAATGGCCACTTCTAAAGTTATGATGTTGTCTGTGTTTGAAAGGCTAAAGATGCTTTTCAAAGGGATTTGAGATGAGAGGCAGGGATGAAGATTTCAAAGCAGAATTGGATTTAGATTGAGTGGTTTTTTTGTATCACCAGAAAACCAGAAGTACTTATATTTCTGGTTATCAGGATCGAAAGATACAATGATAATTTTTTTGAAAGAGATGGATTGTGAGAATTTGGTGAGGATTGAAAAATACATGGGGAGAAATATCTGAAAGAGAGGTAGATTTATAAGAGTTGAATGTTTTAGCATTGAAAGATATAGGAAGTATTTTTAAAAGAGAAAGATTAATCTTTTTAGACTCGTTTGGTCATGGGACTCGTTCTTGGCCAGAGACAAGTAACTCGGGTGAGTTGAGTTATGCAAAGGGCCAAAAAGCCCTAAAAAATTAAAAGAAATTTTACGAACTATAAAATAGAAACTCCAAAAGTGAAACAAAACTCAAAACTAAAAACTAACCAAAGGAATCTAGACCAGCTAAAAAATAAAAACATGGATTTAGAAAAATTAATTTCTGGTTGCAAATATTTCAGATAAAGAAAGAGACGAGAGTTTTTGAGCGAGAAAAATTATTACAGGTGATGCACCTTTCCAATTTCCCAAATTCGTACAACATTAATATCTACTTTTTCAGGAGAATTACAAATCCTACTGCCGGTTCCAAAAATATAGAAAAATTTATTCAGTTTGATTTAGAGGTAATCATCAAAGAACAATTGTTTCGGGGCTGGACTGCATTTCTGCATGATGCGGTCCGGAGGTACAAAGCATTCATCTAAAAGATAGATGCAAATAGGTGGTCCATCTGAAAATAATTGTAATTAACGGCCCAAATGTTTTTTTAATATAATTATTATTTTTAGTTTATAAATTTTTTTATTTTTTATTTCATATTCAAGATCTTCATGTTAAATATTATATATTCTCCAAACATTAGGATCAAATTATGTTTGAAAAATATATTTATTGCCAAGCCTGCATTTCTACATGTGTAGACTTGGCTGCAAGCTAACCGCGTTCATTATCAAAAGGGTGTGGTTTGCATAGGGTTGTAACATTAAGCAATCAAAGTAAGGCGCACCTTAAATTTTATCATAATATGTAATTTTGATGTAAAAAATTCTTATGATGACCTGAAAATTTATTTTCATAACTAATTATAAAATTTTAAACTCCAAAAATTGTTCTAATCAAGTATATTTATAAACACTTGAAAATAGATAGTAAAGATAATGTGTTGCAAAATGTATTATTTTTGGGACTCAAAATTCCTTTTTTTTTTTTATTACATCTCGATATGGAGATGATCAATTAGAGGGTTTTCTAATTTCAAAACAGCTTTTTCCAATGGATTTTTTAAGTACACCTTAATTCTAAAATTTAAGGTTACAACCTTATATAAACTTTTTACACTTTTGATGTCAGGTCGATAATCTAGGAAAATAGAGAGATTAAGGAAAATGTCGCATATATAATTAAAGCTGGGTGGACGTAGTGTAGATGTGTAGCTGGAGTTTTAAGTGATTGCTGTATACTAATGAAGTTGAAAGGAGAGTTCTATATGACATATGTGAGACCGGCTTTGCTTTTATAGGACAGAATGTTTCGCGGTCAATAAACGACATACACATAGAATTAGGTGTCATACCAATATATAATAAGATGAGATAAAATAAATTTAGATGGAGCTGGGAGACTAGCTTTACTTTTATAGAATGGAATGTTTGGTGATAAAAAACAACATACACATCGAATTAGGTGTGATACCAATATGCAATAAGATGAGAGAAACTAAATTTAGATGGGCTGACCATGTACGGTGCATACGTAGTATAACACTGATTAGGAAGTACAAGTTAATTCAAGTTGAAGGTTAAAATAATACTGATTAGGAAGTGCAAGTTAGTTCAAGTTGAAAGTTAATAAATGATAAGAAGTAGGCTAAAAAAGATATGATTGGAAGTAGAGAAAAAATATAAGGACTGTTGATCTCACTCAGAATATGAATCCTAATAGAGTACAATGGTAAACCAGAATTTGTATAGACGTTTATAATTAATTGAAAAAAAAGACCTTGTGAACCTTATATAAAATTTTCCTCATCAAGGTTGCACTTTATTCAACAATTTTAAAGTTGCACCTTAAAGTATCATTTAAGAAAAAAATAAAAAAAGAAATTTATGAACTACCCAAACTTTTCCAAAATGACGTTCATACCTAGTTCTTTTTTTTTTGGTTAAAACTAAAATGCTCACGTTTCTCCCTAGGTCACCCTAAAACTAGGGATGGCAATGGTCACGTATGGGTCGAGTCCAGCTGGACCGAAACCTAGACTCAGACCCGAATGTATTCAGATATAGGTTTTGAACCTAGATCCAACTCATTAGGTTCAAAAGTTAGACTCATACCCGTACCCGTCGGGTCCCAAGTCTATCTCCTTGGGTCTCGAATCTAATCGAGTCCATTGCCACCCTCAGTATGAGCTTCCTTTTTTGTAGTCCACAATGGTAAACAAGAGAACTAATTTTTGAGGGATGGGCGGTTAGAGAGAGAGAGAGAGATTTGAGATTGAGAGAGAGAGTGAGTTATGTCTCCAAAAAAGTAAGGAAAGATTGCGATGGGGTTTGACCATTTGAGGAACTAGAGAAGCAAAAAGTAATGAAACGAGTATAGAGTTGGGGCTTTAGCCTTTTTAAATATACCTGCCCGGTCAGGCATAGCAAGATCGCACCCAAACTTGAAACTATCTGGATATCCTTTATTGAACCCACACCCTATCCGCAGGTTGAAAACTTAGACCTATACCCGGATTCATGTCGGGTACCCAGTGGGTACGGGTCCGGGTCATTGCCAACCCTACCTAAAACCCTTCGCCTCAATTTTCTCTTTCGAATCTCTGCTTCACCTTCACAGACAAAGAGCCCGCAAGAAAGATTAAAAAATAATACAAATCATAGACACAGAGCCCGTAAGAAAGACCCAAATATAATACAAAACAAGAAGCATCTGTTTCCATGACGAAATCCCATTTGTAGATAGAGAATAAAAACCAAGACGCCCCTGTTTCTTATACATTAGAACTTAGCCATTATCTCATGGAAACCCAAAGTCCGCATTCTAAGAAAAAGCCGTTTTTCACCCATTGGAGAATCAGATTCTTAATCCAGAAAGCAAGCTGCCACTGAATATAGAGAGCCCAACATTCTAGAGAGAAAGAAAGCAACAACAAAGCCCCGAAAGCCCCTAAAACAAAAGTTGGACAATGAAACCTTTCTCCCATTTCAATGGCGTCTGAGCCCTCTCCAGAAACCCTAATTTCTCCCTTGAAACTCTCTGAAATAGACAAAGATGGCTCCTTTTATGGAGATTCTGTGAAGAAAACTCCAGAAGAACCTCCTAAAAGTGTTAGCAAGAAAGCAGCAAAGAAAGAAGCCGTGAAAGCTGAGAGGTTGAAGAAAAAGCAAGAAATGGCGGCCTCTGCAGCTCCAGTTGATGAAGCAGACCCTCTGGCTTCGCATTACGGAGATATTCCTTTGAAGGAGCTTCAATCTAAGGAGATCAGTGGTCAAGCATGGACCGAAGTGAAGTCCTTATCAGATGAATTCAAGGATAAAGAGATTTTGATCCGAGGACAGGCTCAAACCATTCGAGCTGTGAGCAAAAACATGGCTTTCATTGTAGTGAGAGAGAGGGGGTTCACAGTGCAATGTGTTTTCACTGTTGCTCCAGGGTTTGTCAGTAAACAGATGGTTAAATTCGTCACTGGTTTGAGCAGAGAATCATATATTGATGTCTATGGGGTGGTCTCAGTTCCTGGAATGGAAATTAAGGGCACCTCTCAACAGGTAAATTAATATGGATTTTCTTTCCCCTTTTTGATCAATTGTCATCTTATGTGCATTGAACTGCTCAATTTTACTTATTTATTTGTATTTGTATTAAGGTAGTTGAATCCAAGCTTGATTCCTGTAGAAATGATACGATTGTTGAATCTAGATACTCTTTGGTTAATTTATAGTATTTGTTTCCAATGATTCTAGCTACATGTGGACTGAATTAATCGAATCCATATGTCCGATGATTCCATGCATTTGAGATTCATATTTGGGTAGGAACATGCAGCTTAAATTTGGAATAAATCAGAAAAATTAGCAAAGATTTGGAACATAATTATTGTCTATGCTCTCAGAGTAACTTAAACCTTCACTTTACGTGGCTTGCCTTTGCAGTATTTCTATATCAACAGCAATGGTCCCTGTTGATTACTAGTAAATTAGATAATATCCAAATTTTGCTCTTCCTTGTATTCTAAAGAAAACATGAATATATATATATATATATATATATATATAAGGGGGGAAAGAAGAGAGAGAGGTTAAGAAGAAGAAGTGGAATCGTGGCGAATGTGGTTGAATCGATCAAAAGGGACTGATCTTCAAATGAAGGTGATCTGCTAAAAAATGGAGTGAAGGCGCCAGGGTGGGTCGGTACAGCTTGAAGCCCAACTAACAATGTTGATAGAGTGAGCCTCTACCAAAATCCCATGTTATTGACGAGCCACAAGCGACGTTCTCTAACTCCTTTTAGCAAAGCCACAGCTTCTGCAGTAGTAGCATCTGAAAATCCTAGATAGCGAGAGAAGGAAAGTAAGACTTCTTTTGAGTTTGCCAGCGTACCTCCAAAGCCTGAGGGTCCAGGGTTTCCAAGAGAAGACCCATCCGTGTTCACTTTAAGAAAGGTAGGCTGCAGAGGGATCTAAATAGCCCTGATTGGTTAGGAGGGGCAGGCAAGAGAGAGAAGAAAGTCCAATCCTTTCTAAAGTTTGAGAGGGTAAGAGATTTATAAACAAATATATTCTGGGCCCATAAGGAGATCAAAGAAAGGGTTGAATCGATTATGGGTGACAAAGGTCTAGCAATACCTCTGAAAATCCTAGAATTCCTTTCTAACCAAAATGACCAAAGGATATCCAGAATGGAAATTCGCCAAAGGGCACGACAGTTCTTCGGGAATGGGGGGGAGAACATGGAGTTGAAGAGCTGGGGTAGGGAGGCGGGAGTGACCCAGTGGATTCCAAAGAGTTTGAGGAGAAAAACCAAATGGGAAGAGAGGCTTCACAATGAAGGAAAAGATGAAGAATGAATTCCTCATCTTGCAGACAGAGAACAGCAGTTGGGGAGACCTAAGCCTCTCCTCTGCAGTTGATCCAAGGTTAGAACTTGTCCTTGAAGAAGGACCCAGGCGACAGCTTGGATCTTAAGAGGAACCGGGATGGACCAAATTTTATTGAGGAGAGGAGGGGGATTCAAAGGAGGAAGGAGAGAGGAGTAAAAATAAGAGACATTGAAATCCCCATAAGGGTTGGGAGCGCATATTAAGGAATCCAAGCGTGAAAGAGAAGCAAAAACAGGATTGAGTAAATTAAGGAGGGAGTTAAGAGAGTGATTTCCATGTCAGAAAGGTTTCTTCTAAAAATTGGGGTCCATATCAAAGAGGAGCCCCTGCGTTCCACATAATTGGCCACAAGAGAATCTTGATCTGAGGCTAAAAGGAAAAGAGACTAAGAGAGGGGAAGAGAAGATCCAAGGATTGGTCACCTATCCAGATGTCCTTCCAGAACCTAACTCTAGAGCCAGAACCTATTTGAAATCTAGTGTGAGAAATGAACAGGGATCTAGAGGAAGAGATAGACTTCCAGGCACCAGATGCATGGTGCAAAGGGGATCCAGGCAGCAAGTGTCCACTCCCATGCCATACTTGGCACTGATAACCTCCTTCCAGAGCAAGGGGTGTGGGGGAGATGAATCTCCACCACCATGTACCCAATAAGGCAGAATTCATAAGGGTAATTTTTCTAATGCCAAGCCCACCATATTTTTTGGGGGTACAGATGCTATCCCAGGCAACAAGGTTGAATTTGTGGCCTTGAGATTCCCCATTCCAAAGAAAGCCCCTCATGAGTTTCTGAAGGTAATTAGCAATGGAAACAAGGATTTGGAAAAGAGACATCTTATATACCAGGATGTTGGCCAAAGTGGCCTTAATGAGGGTAATCCTACCATCCAAAGATAAGAATCTACCTTTCCAGTTTGCAAGATTCCAGGATACAGTCGGATTCCATTGGACATGCTTTATCTTGGTGCATTAGTATATTTTATGTATGCTTTATCTTGGTGCATTAGTATATTTTATGTAATGTTTGAATGCTTGCAGCTTTGTAAGATTTATTTTGTCAGTTGCATAATGGTTTTTGGAAGTAGTATTTTGTCTTTTGCATAAATGTATTGCTATCTGAGTGCTTCCTCTTGTATTTTTGTGGTTTCCACCCATTTGAGTGGCTGATTTTGCTCTCAAATAAGTCCCATACGTTGGTATAAATTGGGAGCATGGTTTTAAAACCCTGCCTAGTCGACTCAGACTGGGCACCTTGCTTAGTCGATCCAAGGTACAAACTTGGTTCTATAAAAAATCGTAAAAAATACGAAAATATATATTTTTTTACTAAATCAATATATAAATGTTTTATATAATTTTTTGAGGCTTTGGTGTTGATTTGTGAGTTTTTCTTAGGGATATATAATGAAACCATTTATCTTTGGTACAGGTGGTCACAATTAATCCTGACCATTGGATGTGAAATTGGGTGGCTGCATATATTTCATTGACCAAGCTCAAAGTTCAAAAGAAATTTCTTCGAACTTTGTGACACACCCAAGCTATCAGATTTCACATCGGATGGTTGTAAGTAATTGTGACCTCCTTATACCAAAGGTAAATGGTCTCATTGTATACGATCCTTTTTTTTTATCATATGCTATATTTTTTCGTTTTTCCCTTTGGATTTTTTTTCAATTGTTTTAAGCTAACAACCTTTTTTTCTCAAGTTCTATATTTTATATTATTTTCATCGTTTTTGGACTTTTAATGTTGTTTATAGTTTTGGTTTTTACTTTTTTAACGTAGTTCTTTATTTTTTAATCCCTTTTTGGGTTTGTACACTATTCAGGCGAGTCTACTTGGACTCCCTGAGTTACTCGGCTCCAACAGGGCCCAAGTTCCTAGCCCGAGCCTAGTAATTGAACCTTAATTTGGAGTTTTGTGTTATGGGGAAATTATCAAGCTGGTGAATGTGTGTTTATATTGCATGTATTCACTCGTGTCAAAGACCATTTACATGATTGCATGTCAGTGGGCATGTGCATTAATGTATTATTCTTGTATTTGCAATTTTCATGTAATTTATGATGTTAGTTTAGTAAGAGATACTTGTCCTTAACTTTTTATTGATGTCGAATATCTTTGTAGTTTTACTTTAACCAGTCATTTAAGTTTCCCAGTCTTCAATTCTATTGATGCTTTCCCATTTGCCTTAAACAATCTTTGTTTCTGTTTGGGTTGGACTCATTTAGAGATTATCATCCTCTATGCTTTTCTGCATGATCCATCTTCCATTTCTTGCAGGTGGAAGTTCAAGGAAGAAAAGTATTCTGTATCAGTAGAGCTATTCCAACTTTACCCTTTAATCTTGAGGATGCAGCTCGTAGTGAAACTGAATTCATAAAAGCTGAGCAGGCAAGATTTGTTGTTTACGGAGGAAATATGTTCTAGACTTCTAGTGTTATGTAGATTCTATTGTTATGTTTTCTATGTCTTGCATTTTATTTACTTTGAAGGGGTACATGTTCTTTCTCATGAAAATTGTAATATTAACTCATAAGATGGGACAATTGCAAAGGATATTGAGACCATTAACCAATTCAAAAGTTATCTTGATAACATTGATTTGGAAATTAGTTGCTGATATTTTACACAATCTTTGTTCATGTTGATAAATGATGGTTTTACTTAAATTTGTGTGCCAAACGTTCCAAAACATCTTTCAGCATTCTATGGACTAGATGCATCTTTCTAACATCTTCTTTCTTTGATTCATTGTAATTTTCTTACTTTTCATGACTAACATCATCGTCCTTGAATATGCAGACTGGAGAACAGCTTGTTCGGGTCGGTCAGGATACTCGTTTGAACAACAGAGTGCTTGACATTCGCACTCCTGCCAATCAAGGGATTTTTCGCATTCAATATCAAGTTGGAAATGTAAGCATGTGGGTTACATTGCATGGGATAGCTCCATTGGGATATCGGAGTTGTTAGAGTTGCAGAAATGCATGTTACTTTTTCTGAATGCATCTAGAATGATGACCATCTTTGTGGATATTCTATTTCTTTAAACACTGTTGATGGGATTAACAGCTTTATTGGAAATCCATTTGCAGATAACTTGGAGATTTACATGTACAGTTATGTTCTGGAGCTAATTCTTATTGTTTGATGTGCATATATCTCGTCTTGTTTTGTTTGGTTTGTTTTATTATCTTTTGTTGCCATGTCCATACTACATATGGCATTTCTGGTTTTAATATTTTACCATATCATGTGAGTCCATTTTCAATTATTTTATATTTGTGATTTTCTTAATAACCTTGTTATTGTTTTGAAAATAGCTATTTAGAATGTTCTTGTCATCTGAAGATTTTGTTGAGATCCATACTCCAAAGTTAATTGCGGGTGCAAGTGAAGGAGGTTCGGCAGTTTTTAAACTGGACTACAAAGGTCAACCTGCTTGCCTAGCACAATCCCCACAGTTACACAAGCAAATGGCAATTTGTGGTAATTTTGGTCGTGTTTTCGAGGTTGGTCATGTTTTCAGGGCAGAAGACTCTTTCACTCATAGGCACCTATGTGAGTTTACAGGCCTTGATGTGGAAATGGAAATTAAGGAGCACTATTTTGAGGTACTTGAACATATTATGAGCTTGTTTTCTTCAATAAATAAATGTACCCAGCAATATCTGTGGTCTTCTTTGGTGATTTCTAATGTACTTTGGATCTCAGTGAGGAGCACTACCAATGAAAAATTGCTATGTTTATACAGGTACTGGACATTCTGGACAGATTATTTGTGCATATTTTCGATGGATTAAATCGGATGTGCAAAAAGGAGCTCGAAGCGGTAAACAAGCAATATCCATTTGAACCTCTGAAGGTGGGGTTTCTCCATCTTGTGTCCTAATATGTCATTTTGGTATTTATTTGGTATTGAATGACTGTTACTTCTTTTTCAGATGCCAATGTTTCTCTGTTTATTTGTTTTCCTTTATCACTTTTTTTGTCTTTGAATTTTTTCTGAGAAAATTTGCTATATGCTAGGAACCCATGCAGTACTTCAAGATTAAATGAAATGTATACTTGTAGAAACAATGAAAATAGAACTAGTTCTAAGCAGTCCTCATTGAGAAGAAGGGGGGTGGACATTCTCTCAAGGTTGTTCATTTTTGTTGAACTAGCATCGGTTGATATTCCCATTCTGTGCTCTCTCAGTAGCACTTTTCAGTATTGCCACTAGTTTCATTGTTTCTTATTTAACCATTTTCTTATGTGTATTTTATTATTGTCAGCTTCCAATTATTGATATTTTTGTTTTCGATTTGTTCAGTACTTACGGAAAACTCTGCAAATTACTTTCAAAGAGGGGATTGAAATGCTCAAGGTATTTCATTTATTAAAAGAAAAAGCTCAAGTTAATCAACCTGTTAAAAAGATCACATTGCTGGCATATGACTTACGGCATAATTTCAAAATCTATACTGTAGGAAGCTGGCTTTGAAGCAGATCCCTTGGGTGATCTAAATACAGAAACAGAGAGAAACTTGGGTCAGCTTGTTCGGGAAAAGTGAGTCCGTAGGCCTCTCTCTTTTTTCTAATTTACCTTGCCCTTGATCTTCTTGAATCTGGAGTGATGGTGCTGAATATCCTATTTTTTCTACTGATGTTAGGTATGACACTGACTTCTATATACTTCACCGCTATCCTCTAGCTGTACGGCCATTTTACACCATGCCATGTTTCGATGATGATTTGTACAGTAACTCATTCGATGTATTCATCCGTGGTAAGAAAATCTAGTCTCAATGCATTATTATTCACATTCTCGTGGGTGAACTTGGTTGATGATGTTTTCTTCTTATAATTGACTTTTTACAATATAACTATCTTCTATTTATCAATAAGGTTTTGTTTAAGGGTACCATGTTGTTGTCAGTGTTAAATCTGGGGCTGGTTCTCTTTGGGCACTCACTAATCAACAAGTTTATGAGATATGCTAGAGAATTAGGAAGAAGCATTGCCTAAGCATCTTAAACTAAAACACAGTTTCCTACACAATTCTATGCTGCTGATAAGTAATCTCTTGGCATTTTAAGAGCTGTGGACCAGTGTCACTGAAAAGCAGGTAGAAGCATGGGTTTGATCTGGTCTTAGTTGGACTGGACCTTAGTCCAGTCTAGCTATCCTTTGGAGACACTAGTAAAGTCTCATTTGACTGGACTAAGGTCTCTCTGAACCAGGTTAGCAGATGTGCTCTTTTCACTTTGGCCTTTTCCATAAAAGGTCAGAGTTGAACATCTGTTCTATCTTCTTTGAGTAAACATGGACATCACCAACTAGCCTTACTGGTATTATACGGGTGAATGTTTGTCTAGCTAATGGATTTGTCTTTGGCTGATTTATTTCTATGGATTTCAAGAGCAACAAACTAGTTATATTAGAGCTGGATTGCGCTGGCTTGTTCAATAGGGTGTGGTCAAACCAGACGCCATTATGAGATAATTTTTGTCACGTTTATGTGTCATTCCTATTATGTCTGTTACTGTGGTCTCGTTTTACTTTAATTTTATCTGTTGTATCAATGAGTGATTTAAACTGTTCCTGGAGAAATTAGCTACCGTTATATTGATTGAAGGATTTGAAAGCATGGCTCTTTTTCCTTTTTCCCATCCTTATATGCAGTTCCATCTAAGAGAAGTACCTGCATTTTGTTTTCCCATGTCCAGGTGAGGAAATAATTTCAGGAGCTCAGCGTGTTCATGATGCCGATTTCTTGACCAGTCGAGCACAGGAATGTGGAATTGATGTGAAGACGATATCTACTTATATTGATAGCTTCCGGTAAGATAACATGTTATTTCCTTTTTTTTTCTTCTCTGTTAAAATTTCACTTGTCCCGATTGAAAGCAATGCCAGTGCCAACATCTTGCTTGGCCCAAATGCTTTCAAAGTTTGTGTTTAAACCTGTGACCCCCCCCCCCCTCCTCCCCCCTGCTCAAAATTTAAAGTGGTTTTCCGGATTTGGTTGCAGGTGTGGTGCGCCTCCTCACGGTGGGTTTGGTGTAGGATTGGAGCGTGTGGTGATGCTTTTCTGTGGCCTTAACAACATACGCAAAACTTCTCTTTTCCCTCGTGACCCCCAGAGGCTTGCTCCATGATACTAATCCATGTTTCTTCTTCTGTGGTCTGGTTTTGCCCCTTTTTTTTTTTCCTTTCAGAAATTGGTCCGAGTACTTTGTATATTTATCCCATTTTTCTCTACTGGGCTTTGTTTCATTACTAGCTTCTAATCAAAATTTTTAACTAGGCATTTCTTTTGATAAAGCAATGATTTAGGAGGATTGTTAATTTTTCATTATAATGACATGAAATTTATCAGGATTAAATTGTTTGATAAAGGTCTTGATATTGGGATATGTTGCCACTAGTATTTTTTTCCCATATGGAAAATTAATTCAAAAGTTTCTAACAAATGTTGCTTCGGTTGTAAGACTGTATAACTTGAGCAAAACGTTCTTTTTGAAAAGAATGAAGTGTATTTTTTCGTGATATTGATAATAAGGGAAATTATCAACAAGAAAAGTTTATATAGAGCCGAGGCTTTAAACAATCAAATTTGAGCCTATATCAAAAATTTCACTAGAAGAGGTTATTTTGATGTTCAAATATCTACAAATTGATCATCTCAACATCAAGAAGCATGGACACCAGAAAAAAATGGATTCAAGTTTTGGAAATAGTGTATTTTGTAATGTGTTTTTGGATTTTCAATTTTCAAGATTTTAAACTTTTCATAGATCTGTTGTTCTACACTATTTTTGAAGCTTTAAACTTTATAAATAAATATAAAAATATATTTTGAGGCTATCACAAAGATTTTAAATATTAAGACTACATTTTGGATACTATTTAAAGGTAGGCTCTTAGGCTCTATACAAACTGCACCCTTTATCAATGCACCTGAAACTTCAACTATTTAATCGTTTGCCTTAGGAGTAATTTTATAATGGTTGAAGTTTATATAAGGCTTAGGCTTTATGAAAACAAAATAAAGCCTCACTTCAAATCATCATGTAGAGAGTACTTTCAATGACAGCAATTTCCATTAGGGCTCTAAAATCAATTTCTAACATTGACAATAAAATTTGAAACTAAAAAAAAGTATAGACTTTGAAGATCTATGAACACTTATTTTTGGGGTGATATGAACCGTTTAGATAATTTATTACAATATACGCTATTTTGAGAGCTTGAAATTTTAAATTTGTTTTTTACAACCATAATGTTCAAGCTTAGATGATCGATGCAAAGGTTTTTCAATGCTTGAATTGCAATTTTTGATGAGTTAGAAGGTGAGGCTTTACCTATTCTGACCATAATTGGTGAAGTCTATGTTTAAAGCATGATTTTTTCAAAAAATCTCTATTTTTTTAAAATCCATTAAGAGCCTTGAGTTTTTCAAAAGATGTTGATCCGTTAAGAGCTTCGAGTTTTTCAAAAGATCTTCAAAAAGTCAAGTTTTTTTTAATGGAACATATATTAATTTGCAATTTATCTTTTTTCAAAAAAACTTTTTCCTATAATTTTGCTTCTTCATTAACTTAATATTAGTTAATTTTGCTTTAAAGATAAGCACATTAACGGTGGGAGTAAATTAATAATCTTGTTTTAACAAAAATTTGATCAAAATTTTTGCCCATGAGTTCCCTTAAAAAACAATATAAAAAAATATAAGCATTATATTCCCCAAAAAATAAGATATTACGAAAATCATATATCTTAAAATAATAGATAGAGTTAGAAAAAAAAAGTAATCTAATGAAAAATCTTTTCTTTTTTTTTTTAAACCCAGAGTGTCCTTATAAAGAGGCAACTATGAATTGTGTGATTCGAATTTTCTTAAGCAGTTTGTTGTTTTATTTATATATAGAGAACTTTGATTTTTTTTTTGTTGGTGTATATAGTATAACATTTTGGAAGGACCACTATGTTACATATTTAGGTCTTTATGTTTTGTTTTAGTTAACTACAATCCTATACTAAACGTCTTTTTTGTCTTTTTCTTTGAATAATAATTCTATACCTTGGTTTACATTTTTTTGTTATTTACTAAGGTAGGTCTTGTGTTTAGTGTTATTTTTATTATTTCATTTTACGCTCCCAATAAATATATGATATATTATATTGTGACAACAAAATAATCATTGTTGTTGGATTTGTTAGAAGTTTAGATAGTAAATTGGCAAGTATTACTCTAATGACTCTAGGTAAGGCCATAAAATTATTGTTCTTAATGGATGTGATGTATCCATACAATATCTGCAAATCGTATCCTATATTATGTCGTCTTTACATATCTGATTTTTTTAAGCAAATCCAAAATATTCATGATTATATAACTTACCTTATTTTTTGGCGATACGTACTTTTGAACTTAATAACTTACCTTATTTTTTGGCGATACGTAATTTTGAACTTAATAACTTACCTTATTTTTTGACGATACGTAATTTTGAACTTATTTTGTCCTCCAACTTTTTAAAATAAAACTGATTTATTATTGATGTTTGAAGCGCCGATATCTTATTATTCCCCTGCTAACTATGATTCTAATAAGGCTGCAGCCCTATCATACTATTTTCCTTTTATAAATTATAAAACCCAATTTAACTTGTAATTAATGTGCTCGTTGAAATTTGCTCAAACGAATGATATTTTCAAATTAGATCACAATGCTAAATAGTTCAAATATTCCCTGTCGAAAATAATACTCCCAAGTAAAATAGAAAAGAATTTGATATTGGAAAATTATATAATAATACCAATTGCTTGGGCACAAGTTGATAGAAGCGTGCTGCAGTCGCCCTTAGTCTTTAGACGTAAAAAGGGGCGGTTATTGAAAAAGTAAAGCACCTCAAATCTTAGCAAAAAAAATTGTAGTTCAGGAAAACTTCAAATTGATCATCACAACCTTTACTATTAAATATGTGGAAAAAAAAAAAGATTTCAAGCTTTTAGTTTTCTGATATAGATCATTCCTTCTAAAAATGAGGCGGTCTCTTTATTCAATCTTGATACATTATTCTTTTCGGCTATAGAGGGTACAAATTAGGAGTATTGTTTTTTCTTTAGTAAGGTTAATCTAAAGTTACAACTCCAAAATTTGGGGTCTTTAAATTAATCTTTGATGGGGTTTAACCTGAGAGTGTAAATAGACAGTATACTCCCATTGAAGCGTATTATTGGCAAAAAGTAAATAGTCTTAGCACAATGGTGAATGACATATAATTTTACAGGACATAATATGGCTAGGAGTTAGCTGCAGCCGTAAATGTGCCTACTGCAATGCTTCCACCATCCAAAAGTGTACTGTATTGTAGATGGATTCAGGCTCCATAATTGTGTAGGTCTCTCGTTTCGACTACCTCCCAAAATTCAAGCACGTTGTCTCAACAATCATGTTTATGAATTTTTAATAACAGAAAATTTTGAGCCTAAAAAATAGTCCATTTGCATGAAGTTTTTACAATAAGAAAATTTGAGCCATAAAAACAGTTGATTTGTACTTTCGAATGAAAGTCACTCATTTCATTTATTCAAATTCAAACATCATTAGATTTGTGCTATTTTTGGAGCTGTGGATTCCTAGAGTCGAAGCAAAAATAGATTTGCAGTACATCCAGCCATCTATACCTACACTTTTTGTTACACAACACTTTGTGCCATTAGAGAAGGAGCCCGACTTAATTGGTTAGCACTTGACGATTAGCAACACCACGTTCTAAGCTTAATTCCTACCAAAGGTAGGGGCCCTCTCCCCACCGACTCACCCAAAAAAAAAAAAAAAACCCTTTGTGCCATCTCATTACTCACCACGCAGCCTCTCTATCCCTAAAGATATGGACTTCATCTGTATTTATTTATTTTACTTGGGTCCTTTTGATGATGGACAAAGCATGAGCTAAAAGGAGACTATGAACACAATAGTCTCAGGTGCTAAACTTAGCTGGTGCCTAAATTGCTTCATTGACGCTTATATGGGTCTGTTACAATGACAAGAACCCTCATTTATTTCCCTACCTATGGGGTCATCGGCCCTCTCGGTCTTCCACCATCTTTACTTGTAGAATTATTTATTTCTATGAGACGAGATATTGACTTGGATAAAAACCAGTGATTCAAAAATGGCCTGTCAAAATTGGGAATTACCTTAGTCTATTCGGAGGCGTAAACTCCAACCTGAAAAAGAAGCAATTACATCATTAGCATCCAAGTCATGTCCCAACTACTTACGGTTGGCTATACGAATCTTGTTAAGTCATTATGCTATATTAATGACTATACTTTCAATCAGATTGTAAGTTATGATATATCTTTCCACTACTTCCATCTATGTCCTTTTAAACCTTCTTTTTATCTTTTTGGAGCCCGTTTCTTGAACCAAATCGCCCCTTCCAACCCCGTATTGTATTAAACCTATGTTATATATGACCAACCAACGTAAATCTACTTTCACTCGTCTTGTTAGCCCTATGTTATATGTGACCAATCCACGTAAGTCTACTTTTACTCACCTTATCACCTATTGGAACCACCTCTAAGTTCCCGCATATATATTCATTCTAAGTTCTATCCTTTTTTGCCAGACCACTCTCTTCCATCTCAACATCCGCATCTCAGCTACATACATCTTATGGCTATGTTGTTTCTTGACCGCGTAATATTTCATCCACTAAAGTATGATTGTTTTTTATTTTTTAAAATACTTTATTAAAAATGCCCGGTCCTACTTTTCTCTTTTTTTTAAAAAAAAATATAACCAGTCCAACTCAGGAACTGCAGAATTGATCCACGAGAATAGGAATCAAGCTCCTGCGGATATAAACAAGAGATTTCCCACTGTAATGTTCTATACTTCAACCCTTTCTGGATTGTAGTTGAATTCTCAATGGTGTTCCAAAGCCTTCTTCTAGATTATTTTGGAGAATTTGATATGACTCAAGCTCTGTAGTTACAAGAAGTCCACAAAAGATCAACAACCGTCTCCTCTCTAGAATGAAAAGGACAGTAGTTTTAGATTTGATTCCACCATTACATGTAGCAAAATAGACTGGGCTCTAACACGCCATCATACCTCCTCTCCCCATCCAAGTGTAATAGAAACAAGTTTCTTTTGTCTCAAAGAACACTGCGTCCTTTTTTACAAAATAGCGACACTTTATTTGTATGAATTAACTACCATTGATAGAAAGCTTACCAGATTGTTTAGCATTTGGCTAGACTAATATACCCCGCAGTTAGTCCACAACAAACTTAATCACAGGAGGCATCAACGATCTCATCTATAAAATCCAAAAAGCAGAACGAACAATAACTAAACCAAAAATTTGAATGCCATCAGAACCAAAGGTTGAGATCAATGTATATCAAGAGCAGATCAGCCATCAAAACAATGCGAACATTCTAAACTAGGCAGACCAGCCAGTTCACAGTCCAGATAACAGGTCTAAACCAGCTCAACCAGCCGGTTTAGATAGTTTTACTTGTTCAACGATCGCACTGGACTTGGTTCTAGGCCATTTTCAGGTCCAACAGCGGTCCAGCCTGGTTTGATGGCATTGACCGAGACGGCTCTACAAATTAATAGAGGACAGATTAAACCAATTTTATCAATTTACCCTTCCACAAAGAAATGAAAACAGCTCAAGCAGGTGCTCTCAAGTTGAACCATACGATCACTTGCAATATATATATTCTAATCATGAATCCCATAACATAGCTTAAAAACCTTATTTGCAATGAGATATGAGTGAAAACATGAATAAAATTTTGGGATAGCAGACTTACCAAAAGAACTCTGCCAAACCATTATAGCTCCCAGATATGGGAAATGTCACATCACCCCGGAAAAAGAAAAACACTTAAGGAGCAAAATATTCCTTCCTAAGTGGAGGCATCTTAAAATTTTTGACCAATCAAATCGAGGTCCTAGATCATGGAGTCCTAAGGAAGCATTAGATAAATGAGAATAACCAGTATCACAATTGGCAGCGCACCAAAAAGCACAGTTTGCACTTTCTGACAGAAGGAATTCCAACTCATTTGGAAATAAGTACTGCTTTGAATCATTTTAGTAGCTTTCATAAAAGCCTATTAACTACCAAGTGTGTTCAAGATCTACAAATTAGACATTATGCTACACAAAAGTGGCTCCAATCACTTAAATACATGATAGACCAATGTTTTAGCGTTTCAGAAAGAAAGCCTTGATGAGCATTGAGCATCACGAAATGATAACACTCAAAACTTGGCAAATAAAGGGCCAAATTTTACTGTTTCAGGATGCCCATAAATATGTTAATGCAAATCTGTGATCATAAGAAGCATTTCAACGGAGCGAGAGCGCCAAATTATCCTAAAACCAAGCGCCAACAAATGTCCTGAGAGAAGTCCCCGGAAGGACTTCTACACATCAAGGCATGTTCCAAAAAAATGAAGAAATTTAAAAATTTCATGTCCAGAACAAACATTTAAGTCTATTCCTCAAATCACATGAAAACTACCCAACATATCGCGCATGGAGAGGTGTGGGACTTCTTATGCCAATACCAGTGGGGGGAAAAGAGTAGAGAGACACTACGGGGTCAATCAAGGGCAGAGGGACTTATGAGAGTGATTGGTTAACAGCAGCATTGAAAATAAGAACCAAACCAGGTGCAACAACAAAATTATACAAAGATAAGAAGCCAATACAGAGTGTGTCATAAGTACATGTTCAGTTTGTTAAGGTGGCTCGCAATAAAAGGAAAGAAGAGAAGTGATTGGAAGCTAAAGAGGAGAAAGCTGGACAAAGGTCTACAAACCTCATTTTCTAGCTGCTATAAACCTTAATCCTTTAAATTCCAGATGTTCGCCAGCTCCCACTCCATCCATTGATACCAAATATTACTGAAAAATGTCACTGGGAGCATGGGGTTGTTTCTTCTAATTTTGTTAGACAATAACTATTGAGGCAATATGATTCTAACAATAAATTTAACACGGCTCCTCATATCCAACAAGGGGTTGGAAACATGTTAGACACTCTCATTAGGTCTTCACATAATTTAAAAACACATATTCTACTTCATCAAACTCTTCATAACATTCTTAAGGAATTCTTCTACAACTCTTTCTTGCTTCCTTTCTCATTACAAAAACCCAGTACATGTGCTCCAACAAGAAATACAAAACCCTGAGTAAACCTAAATGCTAGACCCGAATATCATAAACCCAGGTCGCAATAGGCAAAGTCACCAGATACTTTTTAAAGCTCAAATCTATTGTCAGTTCCTATGAGAACCAAATACCATCTGGAGCGTTGGATTTAATAAATGCCAATCTAGGAACAATCCGTAAGATATTCCAAGGGTACATGACTCTGCCAATGCCCTATGTGGAAGCCCATTTGATTGGGCTAACCTCACTTTTTATTGAGCATACTTATTGTGAAATGCTATAAACCTAATGTTATTAGATGGCCTCAGATAAAGAGACAAATCATACCTAAAGATTAGAAAATATATATGGACTATTGGGAGGACAGAAAAATATGTCCATCTCCTAATTCCATGTGCTCAACGAATATAATTGGAAGGCGGCTTCCCTCTGGGGGGAAGGAGTTCAGGATTACTCTAGATTGGAGACCCCTTTTCTCATGAATTAGTAATTACCATTCACCCTTTATCCTTTTTACTTTTCAGGTTTCTATCTTTTGTGTTCATCAATCAACAACAAAAAAATATCCCTTTGCCATCACTCATCACATAAACCTCCATAACCGAGCCACTCTTACCTATGAAACAAAGATTTCCTTTCTTCTACACCGTGTATACTCTTGCACATAACTAGATGTATAGTTGTATACCCCTTTCTCTTCAAAACAAAAGCAGATAGAAGAGTGGTGTTCCATACCCCCATACATGTAAAGATGAATACAATTGCAATAAAGACGACATTCTAAGATCTATGTTTGACGATCAACATGTTAACAGTGTACACAGCTCAGCAATTAGAAGTTCAAGAATTTCAACCTTCAAAATTACTTATGCTTTCGAACCTTCGAAATTAGTTTGTATACTGATCTCCAAGATAGAAAGCCAAACCCTAAAGGGTTAAAATATATATATATTTTTCCTAATAGGCACATACGCTGGGATTCAAACCATACATAAAATCGCACAGCCACACGTCGTAATTAGTAAGAATAACACATTTCATATGGAAACATCAATACGCTGCTGTGTTGTGTGTATTCTCAGTAAAATTGAAGCATGTAGCATATACTAATTGTTTAGTCAATTTAACCCACTTAAATCGAAAATAAGACTGCACATGAAGACTTCTGACTTAACATAAGATACTGCTAATATACATAACTTGTTGCTTAGACTAAATAAAAATAAAAAAGATGACATGCATTATCTTTACATGCACCATATCAACTAAATCATCATGAAAGTTAATCAAGCAAATCCAATCAATGAAACCTCATAATTTCTGTGATAACACATCACAACAACTTTCAGATAAACCAAACAAATGCGAAAAATGCAAAACAAACTGAGCAGAGCCACAACTTCAATGTACACAATGCCTCCAAATACAGTGACCAACCCACAGGAAAGAGAAGATAGAAATACATATCTCATGAAAAGGGAGATCATTTAACTTCATTTATCACAGAAAAAAAGAGGAAAATTATTGGTTATACTCATCTTATCTCATAATTGTTCTCCATTACCTTTTCTGTTTCCCTTTTTGGGGGGTGAGGGGGAGGGGAAAGAGGCAGTAGGTAGGCTAGGATTAGAACCTTCTTCGCCATATGCGAAGCAGAGGTCTAACGCCCTAACCACCAAGCCAGATAACAAACACATACAACAACCATTTCACTAGCCTTTGAACCTTACCAAGGGGGATTGCTGCCCTCTCTCACAGAGGGAGACCTATTTGACCCCAAGCTCCCATCCCTTGCAAACCTGGTGGGAACCCGTGGGCTTGGGCTTGCCCTATAGCTAGCTCGAAGTGATTCATCCACTGTACTTGATACCTTTGCTCTAACGCTCCTCACAAACTTTTGTGCAGCCGACGATAATGTCCGCACGCCTGGGCTTGCGCTTCTACTCCGAGCTCTTATGGGTAGTGGTGGTTTCTCTCTCATACCCCCCGATTTCTCTCTCAGCCTCCTTGCTGCCTCTCTAGAGAGATTATGAGCAGTCGAATCTCTCAATGGGGGAGCGGGGATCCTGAACTGGGGCCCATCTTCACCACCCACAGGAAAATCCTCGCCATCCAATCTCACCGGTGTACCCTCAATCTCACCCCATGTAATAAAGGGTGATTCTTCCACACCGGGCATAGGAGAAGGTGTTCTAACAAACCCATATTTTCCAGCGCCTTTATTATCGGGTGTTTTCCTCAAGACTTCAAGGTCATATTTCTTTGAACTATCAGAAGCCCTGCTGGGGAAAGGCCAAGTTCCCGGCGTTTGGCCGGGAACGGGAGTGTAAAGAATAGCAACTGGGTCCTCTTCTCGTGGCCTAAGCTCTGAAACCTTGCCATGAAACCTCGTATTTTCTCTATTAATCTCCTTTGTAAACCCCTTTGCTCTCTCAATCTTTTCAGCCTCAGTTAGTGGTGCCTCACTCCTATTAGATGAATCATACATCAGGAGGTTCTTTGCCTCAAAACCCCAGCCTTTTAATGTATCAACTGGTTGCCCTGAGGTCCCATAACCATCAGTTTTCAGTCCAATTTCTAGCGAATCAGCCGGAACTTCACCCTTAAGCAAATATTGTAACTTCTCTTCTCTTTTTCTATTAACCGTCTGCATAATCTCCGAGAAGCTCTGGTTATCCTCACTGGTGTATTTCTTAAAGAACTCATTAAGCGACAGGGACTCATTCACTGGACCAGGAGGCGTGTCAGGTGGGTTCAAGTGGCTCAATGGTGTGAAGCCAAAATCAGAGCCAGGTGTGGGTGTGGGAGTGGGAGCATTGGGATGGGCTAGACCTGGATTCCTTCTCTCTAGGATCTTGAGCTGTGCGTCTCTAATGGACATTGGATCACCTGTCCGAGCTGCTTCGAGCCAGTCAAGGCGATCTTGGAGCTTGGGTATATCAGGGAAGAAGTCTCGCTCGACGATCTTTTCAATGGCGGCCACATAAGAGTCTTCATCAAGGACCTTAGGGTGTGCGCACTTGGGCTTTTTGAGATAACTATGAATTGGGGTTTCTGAAGAGTCTGGTTCAGGAAGATAGCGGGGAGATCGACCAGGGGTTGAAAGCATGGTTGAGAGGAAGGTGGAATTAGGGGTCTCAGAATAGGAAAATTAGGGTTTCAGGAAGAGGAGGAATTAGTATTTTGGATTAATGAGAGATGAGAGGAAATAAGAGGTTGGGGTAACAGGGATAAAAAAAAACACAAGAGAAAAGAAAATTAGGGTTTTTTATTTTGCAAGAAGAAGGAAACGATAACAAAAAAGATAAAATTAGGCTTTTTGGTCAGGGAAAGGGAAATTTAAGGTTCGACAGGTTTTTGAATCAGGATTTCTTTTTGGTTTAAAGGAATTAGAAAAGATGCAATCGAAACTAGGATTCAACTTTGAGCGAAGAAGGGAACGGCAACACAGAAAGGAAAGACCGGTTCTTGGATTGCAGAGAGAAGAGAGGAGAAAATTCGTGGATTAGGGTTCAGAGGTCATAAGATTAATGGAGGAAATAGAGACAAAAGGAAGAAGAAAATCAAGGTAAAAGGAACGAGAAACAAAAGGAAGAAGAAAATCAAGTTAAAAGGAACGAGGAATTAGGGTTTAAGATTCTAACCTCGACACCCTCTCTGTACATGAGTATAGGCTTGCCAGCCTCAAACCTTCTTTGTTGAAAAATCAGGCCTCTTTTGCGATTACACCACGCTTTGTCTCTCTGGAATGCCGTCCCACGCCTGCTCTATATTATCCCAGAATTTCGAGATTGCAGCAAGCTTTCTTCCTCTGACAAGCCCCTCTCTCTCAACAACCGCGCCTTCTCTAAAAACCAGAACGGTATCTGATTTCGAAGAAAATACAAAATAATTACCCGAATATATATTCGAAATCTCGTAGCCAGCGGCGCCACGTACGGCCCGATAAAGCTCTTGAATTTCATTGGATGCCCCCTTGCGTAATGGAAGTTAAAAAAAAGGTTTATATAAGGTTGCGGCCTTAAACGATCAAATTAAGACGCACCCCCAAAATTTACTAAAAGAGGTTGTTTCATGTCAAAAAAAACTCTCAAATCAATCTTCTCGACCTCAAGATGCACCGACACTAAAAAAATTAGTTTTCAAGTCTGAAAAATGACGGATCTTGTAATACATTTTATGGAGATCTATATTATTTTTTAAGCTTTAAATTTTATAATTATAAATGAAAATAAATTCTTAGTCCATCACAAGGACCGTTACTACCGAAAAATCATCTTGGACACTATTTAGAAGTATGCCGTACTTTGATTATTTAGGATCTCAACCATGTACAAACGAGACCCTAATGAAAATCGACAACACATAAGTTTTAGTAGTTATCCCTTATATTTTTGTGAAATTTAAAATTTTCTTATATCCTAGTTTTTAAAATCATATAAGGATTTAATTTTCATATTTTTTTTATGAATCGGATTAAGTTTACTTTTCGAATGTTAATACTTCTCACTATTACGCACTTCTAAAAACTAGAAAAATAAGATTTTAAATAATAAAATAGCTAAAATACACCTAAAATTGGTAGAAGTATAATTTTTTCGCATATATGTGGTGCTGAGAAAATATAGATACAAAAATTAAATTCAATCCGATGTATCACCATTATCATCATCAAAATATTATCCCAACTATTTAGGAACGATACGAATCCTATTTCGTTATTCTGCTCTATTAAGGACTATACCCATAGTCAAAATCATAAGTCACCATATCTCTTATTACTACTTTTATACATGTCTTTTTGGGTTAGTCCCTTGCCTTTTAAAAACATTCTACTTGAATAAAATTGGTCCTCCTAATTGGAGTTATAGTATGTCTACACTACATATGACCAGCCCAACTAAGTCATTTTTTCTTCGTCTCATCGCCTATTGCAGCAACTCCTAAGCTCCTTAAATACAAGTTGAATCTAATGTGTAAAAAATTAATAATTACAAAACAATTCTTAAAATGTAAGAAATGAATGTAAAATATAAAATATTATAGATATTTTGTAAGTTCTGAAAAATGCAGATGATATTTATATAAATTTCCCTTGAAAAAAATTATCAAATAACCTCAAACTCAAGTAAATTTATCTTCAAATAATCTTTAAGCACCACATGGATACTTGTAAAAGGATTACCAGGAAATGGTTCCTTAGGGAGATTACCCATTTCCGCCATTGGCATCCAAAATCAGGGGTGAATTTTTTTTTTTTACCAAAAATAGTTTTTCTCTATTTTGAGCACAAAACATATAAACATTTTTCTCCCCATAAGCTAAAAAAGTAATTTCCTTGTCATATTTCCTTTTGTAGCTAAGCAAAGAAAAAAAAATAAAACAAGTTTATTGTGGCATAAACAAAAAGAGCAATCTCCTCCCCTTTCTCTACCATCTCTCTCTTCCTTCTCATTCTCAAATGTATTTGTACCTTTCCTTCTCATCTCTCTTTTATTGTGTCTTCCCATTCATAGAGATCTCGTTTTACTTCTATCTTGCTCTAGTTATTTTTTTCTCTCTTTATCTCTACCATATTTTCCTTTTAAGTTAAATCTAGATGCTATCCAAATAAATAAAAAAAACCATTTTTAAAAAATATATTTTTCCACAAAATATATTTCACAAGTAATAGGTTTTTCGGACAAATTTTTTTTGAGGGATCCAAACCAAGCGTAAAGGGAACCAAAGAGAGAATGGCTTGGATCCAAACCAAGCATAAAGGGAAACCAAAGAGGGAATGGCTTGAACTCACTCATGTTTTCTTCAATATTTTCCAATTGAAACCCTCGAACTCGAAATTGTAGAGTCCTTTATTAGTGGTGGTAGGTATTCAATGAAGGCATTGAGAAACAAACAGAGCATATGCCAATTTAACAATTACAAAATTCCCAAAACCATGCCATCATAAGAATTAAAACGAATAGGAAAACAAGATTTTTGCAATCAACGAGTCAGCTTGGAAATGCCCGAGTTCACTCGGGGCTGATGGGTATTTGGTTAGTTCTCGTCTAGACTCATGGTAGTCGCCCACTACCTCCTTTTATGTGAAAAAGAAAAAAAAGGCTTTTATTTCTTCATTATGATCGATTTAGACGCAAACCGGTCCCTTGTTAGCCCCAAAAAATCCATCAAAAAATTAATTTGGGTGAGTGTTTTTTAAAAAAATGACACCAAATCTGAAGCCTATAGCCTAATTCGACATTTTTCCTACTTTCTCTTTTTCCTACAATTTGATTCAAAATGTTGGTATTGGAGCCCTCTAACAAAACCCCATAACAATGGCTAGAAAAAAAGAAATTAAAAGTTCAAATGTTGACGTTTTGTTTAACTTGAAATTAAAAATTTTAAATTCTTCTCTTAGGTTTTGTGAGAGAAGACCTTTCTCTGTATGTCATTAATTCAATCATATTACAATACCATGACATTTTTATAGAGACTGTACAACCAATACTTACTAAAACCGTAGGATACAGTTTCTATATAGACATAGCATACAATTAGACACTGACAGGTCTAGGATACAGTTTCGATGTAGAGAGTTGTCATATCTGTTCACACTCCCCCTCAAACTCGAGATGATGTGAGAGAAATCATGGAGAGTTTGGAAACAAACAGGGAGAAAAGATGCGGGGGATGAGACTTAGTGAAGAAATCGACGAGTTGTACTATGGTAGACACATATCGTAAGGAAATTGTACCTGCGAGATATTCTTGTCGAACATAGTGACAATCAACTTCAATATGTTTCGTGCGTTCATGAAATTCTGGATTTTTAGAAATATAAATGGCACTTTTATTGTCACAATAAAGTGGAATAGGAATGGAGATAGTGACACCCTTGTTTGCGAGCAGCCAATGGTGCCAAACAATCTCGATGGTTGTCTGTGCCATAGCCCAATATTCAGCTTCCGTAGTCGATTGAGTAATTCGTTTATGTTCTTGCTTTTCCAAGATATGATAGAATCACCGAGAAAAATGCAGAATCCTGTGGTAGATTTGTGATCACTTGGATTTCCGACAAAATCGGAGTTTGTATATATACCCGAAGCACAAGTGAGGTAGAAGAGGAGAAGAATAAGGCATGGTGACGGGTACACCTGATATAACAAGTGATGCACAAAACAGCAACGAGATGTATCGAATGCGAGGCCCTAAAAAACTGACTAACTATATGTACGGCATAAGCAATATCGGGGCGTGAAATGGTTATATCTATCAGTTTCCCAACTAGTTGGCTATAAAAGATTGGGTCAGGAAGAGCTTCACCATCAATAGCCCGAAATTTAGCATTGACCTCAAGAGGGGTATCAACCTTTTTTGTATCATTCTGGAGTCGAGCTTGAGAAACATTCTCGGAAGCATATTTGAGCTATGACAATAGATAGCCACGAGGAGAATAAGCACCTTCGAGTCCAAAAAAATACCGGAAGAAATCCAAATCTTTCATTTCAAATGCGCTATTGAGCTTCTGTTTGATTTTTTGAATTGTGCCCATATTATTGCCAGAGATAATCATATCATCGACGTTTAGTAATAAGAGAACCCGTCCAGCAGAGGTTTCAGACACAAAGTGTGTTGGATCATGATGACTTTGTCAAAAGCCAACCGAAAGAACTTCATTACGAAATTTCTCAAACCAAGCACAATGTGCTTGTTTGAGTCCATATAAGGCCCGTCGAAGTTTTCACACGCGGTTGTGAGAATCCGCAATGCTAGGATGTAACTTCATATATATGTCTGTATCAAGATCACCATTGAAAAAAGCATTTTTTACATCCAATTGATGGAGAGACCATTGATGAACAAAAGCCACCGAGATCATGTATGAACTATAGTCATATGAGCAACAGGAGCAAAAGCCTTTGCAAAGTCAATGCCATATTGCTGAGTGTAACTTTTTGCCATCAAGAAGGCTTTATATCGTTCTAGACTGCCATTTGTATTAGTTTTAATTTTATATACCCATCGACAACTTACAACAATTTTTCCTTTTGGGAGAGGTACCAGGTCCCAAGCATGCATAAGCGTTTAACTCATCAGCCATGGCTCGTTACCACTCATGTTGACTTGCAGCTTCATTGTAAATCTGAGGTTCAGAAAAAGAATGAACAGATGCAAGGAATGCTTGGTGTTGAGGTAAGAAGATTTCATAATCAGCAAGTCGGGAAGGTGGAACAAATACCCGGGTGATCCGTCTAAGAGCAGGGAGTGGCAGGCGATCAGCAGGTGCAAGGTTCTGATTAGGACTGTCAGCATGAGATGATGGAGTTTCTTCCTAGACTTCAGAAGGAGTGACACAGGTGGAATGACCAGAGAAATGAAGAACAGTAGCAGAGAAGGGGACAAAAAAAAAAGGTAAGAAGGTCATGAATTATTGTTATTAGCAGAGAATGGAATGTGCTCAGAAAACACCATATGACGGGATACCCAAAGTCTTTTAGTCACATGGTCATAACACCTATATCATTTTTTATAATCAGGGTAACCAATAAAGCAACATTTGATCGACTTTGGAGACAACGTATCTCTCTCAGTTGGGGGTAACAAAACAAAACAAGTGCAGCCAACTACACGTAAGACGGAATACTCGGGTGGTCATATAAACAATTTTTGGAAAGGTATTTAACTAGATTAAATGGAGGATGACATGATGTTGATGAGGAAGACTAGGGTACGAACAGCTTCTGCCCAAAATTATTTTGGGACAGATATATAAAAAAGAAGGGATCTTGTGGTTTCTATGATATGACGATTTTTACGTTCAACAATACCATTTTGTTATGGTGTATAAGGATATGTTTTGTGGTGTCGAATGTTGTGATTAACCATAAATTAGAGAAGCAACCCACTGACATATTCCCCTTCAGAATCTGAGTGCAAGGCTTTGATTTTAGT